ATCTAATAACTAGCTAGTTCAACTTGGTATTATTGCTATGTTTAGCTTAAACAGAGTCGACTCAGATCGTATACAATGGCCAATAGTCACCTAAGTCTTGAATGCGATGTGTGGGTCAAAATTTTGACAAAGTTCGGTCCAACTTATCAAATAAGTTCGGTCAAGCATGGTATCGACGTTCAGAGTTGCCAATCGATTGGCCCAGACGCCGAAAATAAAAAGGCTACCCTTCAATGAGTTGTGAGTGGGTTTAAATTCGTTGCCTGCCGACGCCATCTTTCTGTTGATATTCCCGTGGTTGCTTGCTACAACAGTATGTTATCTATTGATTTGTAATTGATAATAAAGTAGACTGCACAAACATGGTGTTCAAGTACATGAGACTGAGAAGAAATAGAATCGTGTTAAAAAATTTTTTTTTTTAGTTTTCTCAAATGCCACTTAATGGACTGCAAAATATAAAATCAATGTAGTTATGTAAATATTAAGCGAATATGGAAATAAAATAAAAAGGAACCATGGTTTGGAAGGACCTAAACATTCCTTTCTAATTTAGGTCAAATTAAAATATTGCATCCGGTAGATCTTTTATGTTATTTCGATTTTGTATGTGGGAAATTAATGCGGTCATATTATTTCTGTACAATTTATAGTGGACGTTGGCTGGTTTATCGATTGCAGCTCTTTATCTTCTGACGGGCAGAGAAACACTAAATCGGTTACATCTCTCATCATTGGTTTTACTTGCATGGCCGAGAAATATACCCTTGTCAATGGTGCAGGACAAAGGGCCTAACAAGGACACATGTACACATTGGCGTGCATATAGGCCAGTATATGCCACTGACGTAATTGGCAATGTGTGGCTCCGATTGGTCCTTGTCGACTAAATCCCCGTAATTTCACTACGCCTTATAGCGGTGCCAGAACTAATAGGATTATGCAAATCTATGTTGTACTGATCGCAGATTGTAGTTGGGAAGACCATGTAACGAAATTTAAAGCTAGAAATCCTGGCTGCAGGCCTATAATAGATCAGGGTTGTTGGTGGCCTAATGTCGCACTTCCAGCTCTAGATGGCGACCTTCGGTTATTGTGATTTCTTGACTATAGTCGAACGAACTGAATCCGAATTTCATTTAGTCCGGGTCATAGTCCGAAATTACTGAACCATGCTATTGTTTAGTATATGATTTTAGGAAAGCTTGAAAGAATTTTAAATGGTTGCGACTTCTTTGAGCAGATATTTTTTGTCTCGTATATTATGTCTGAATCTGTAAGCTTAAAAAATACGCATTATTTCAATAGTTATGCAATGCAAAATGGGAAGTCAAATTACAAGGAATTTGGCGTCTCTAAAAATTAATATAGAGCGAAGCTCTAAAGCACCGCGCAAATTGTATACATTAACCCTTTCAGACTACAATTAACGTGACGTCATAATGCCCACGGAATCCATTTATTTTTGATAATCATATTTTAATTGACTGTTTTCTTATATTTGATCATTATGCAAATGCTTTTGATGGGAACTGACAAAAAGTATATATTTTCCTGAAGAAGAATGAATGGTGGATATTATGTTAGAAACATGAGTTCCCCCAAAACTATTATGCCTTTTCTTGTAACCATAGCAACATACATAAATTCTTGTGAATAATAACAAAAGTAAACCATTATTTAAATTCATTAATAAATTTCAAATATTTATTAATATTCAATAACATTTAAATAACAAAGATAAAAATAAAAATCATTATCAACAATAACAATAAAATTGGATATTTAGTGGTAAAATTTAAAATATCACAAAAATAGATATTTACAGATTTTATCATATTTAAATTTCTATACATAATACAGATACTGTATATATTTGAATTTTAGACAAACCAAGATAATATTTATAATTATTATAGAATGTATAGAAGAAACCAATAATTCTGAATGTTCACTGTTTTGTTAAAACGAAAGTGTTACCATGGCAACCAATTGAAAATAATGCCTATTTGGGTTTTTCTAAAAAAGGACACTACATCATCTACAGTCTCAATATCATCATACTTATTCACTACATGTGAGGCACAATAACCTAACAATGATAAAATTAACAATCATCAGCAATAATGACAATAAAATTAGATATTTAAAATATCACAAAAATAGAAATTTACAGATTTTGATCATATTTAGATTTCTATACATAGTACAGACACTGCAAAATATATGGAATTTTAGACAAACTAAGATAATATTTATAATTATTATAGAATGTATACAAGAAACCGACAATACTGAATGTTTACTGTTTTGTTAAAACGAAAGTGTTACCATGGAAACCAATCGAAAACAATGCCTATTTTTAAAAAAAAGGAAAATATATCATCTACAGTCTCAATATAATCATAGCTATTCACTACATGTGAGGCACAGTAAGCTAACAATGATAAAATTAACAATCACGATCAACAATAACAATAAATATTATATTTTGTGGTAAAATTTAAAATATCACAGAAAAAGATATTTACAGATTTTGATCATATTTAGATTTCTATAAACAGTACAGACACCGCATATATATATATATATAATTTGAGTCAGAGACAAACCAAGATAATACTCATCATTATTATACAGTGTGTATATATAAGAAAGCGATAATATTGAATGTGTTACCATGGCAACCAAATGGAAACAGTGCCTATTGAATGAAAAAGGACAATACATCATATATGCAGTTCGATATCATCATAATTAAGCTAACAATTGGACTTTTTTGTGTTTCCTAGCTGGTGCTGCATTTTCTTTATTTGGGTCCATGTAGGGAAAATTAACAGTATAATGATATCTGTGGAAACAGGGATATGGGCACATTCTTTTACCACACACACCACAACCATAAGTGGTTTCAACGCGGTTTGAATGGACAACACACCTACCCTGATTTTCATATTTATATGGAGCGTGTTCCAAGGTTCTATCAAACCTTATTTCTGGTGGTAATGTAACAGATGGACGCCCTCGTTTCTTCGTGAATGTTCTGCCACCTATCAACCCATCAGCCAGTTGTAAGAAAAACTCATGTTGTGACAACTTTGACTGTGAATGAATTTTCTTATGTACAATAAAGGCTTGAACAGCAGAGAGTCTTAACAAATGCATAAACACTTGTATGTACCAAGTCAAAGATTTCATATGACGTCTATATGTAGCAACACGTTGATCAGATAAATCGACACCCGCCATATAAGAATTATAAGTGATAATAGCCCTAGGTTTGCTGATCGTAACTTCTTTACCACCCTGTTTCTTGTCTCTTCTCTGTATATCAAGATTACCTACAAAATAAAATGATAAATGAATAAAATACAATTTTAGCTTATTCGTAATTGATGAAATTAATTTTCACTAATATATTTTCGAATTATTTGTTTCACTTATATTCAAAAGTTATTGACAAAGATGGAAGATCTACATACACTTCCGGGGGCTGCGGTAGCTTAGCGAGTACTGTGCTTACTCACTAACCAGGAGGTCGTAGGTTCGATCCCCGGTCTGGGAAAGAACATCCGGATTTTTCAATTCAGTGTCGGTGGCACAGACCTGAGGGGCTGAAATGCAATAGCACCTAGTAGTTTGGATGGGACAATAAACGAAGTCTTGTGTGCTGCATCAGGGCGCACTTTAGAGAACTCAGACAGTTTCCCTCATTGCACATGCCCGTCTCAATTAGCCAATACAAAACGTGCAAAAAAGTAGGACGTTAAACCCCTTTTTATTTCATTTCAACATACACACCCATTTTATATTCAATACCGCAGACACATTTGATTACCGTAACTGTATAATATAACATTTTTTTTGTCCCCCGCCTTTCGAAGAAAGCAGGGGACTATTAAAATGGGTTCGTCCGTCTGTCTGTCCGTCCGTCTGTCTGTCCGTCACACTTTTTGGGACACAATAACTCTCTTCCTAATTGAGCTAGAATGTTCAAACTTGGTGTATGTGTTTATTAGGTCAATGCCTTGATGGAGTTCGAAGATGAGCATTTTCCGCTTAGGGTAAGCAGAGATAAGCAATTTGATTGGTTGATGCTTTGGGACACGATAACTCTCTTCCTAATTGGGCTAGAATGTTCAAACTTGGTGTATGTGTTGATTAGGTCAATGCCTTGATGGAGTTCGAAGATGAGCATTTTCCGCTTAGGGTAAGCAGAGATAAGCAATTTGATTGGTTGATGCTTTGGGACACGATAACTTTTAATTGAGCTAGAATGTTCAAACTTGGTGTATGTGTTTATTAGGTCAATGCCTTGATGGAGTTCGAAGATGAGCATTTTCCGCTTAGGGTAAGCAGAGATAAGCCATTTGTTTGGTTGATACTTTGGGGCACGATAACTCTCTTCCTAATTGAGCTAGAATGTTCAAACTTGGTGTATGTGTTGATTAGGTCAATGCCTTGATGGAGTTCGAAGATGAGCATTTTCCGCTTAGGGTAAGCAGAGATAAGCAATTTGATTGGTTGATGCTTTGGGACACGATAACTTTAGTTCTAATTAAGTGAGATTGATGAAACTTGGTGTATAGATTTATTATATGAATACCTTAACTAAGTTCGATAATGAACATTTTTTGCTGAGGGTAAGCAGAGTGATAAGCAATTTGATTGGTAGAAACTTTGGAACACAATAACTCTCCTTCTAATTGAGGTAGAATGTTCAAACTTGGCATAGGTGAATGTTTAAACTTGATGTATATGTAGATGTTCATTAGGTGAATGTCTTGACTGAGTTCAATAATTAACATTTCGAGCTGAAGCTAAGCAGAGCTAATCGATTTCATTTGTCGATGGTTTGGGACAAGATAATCTTGATTCTATCTGATAGAGAGTGATGAAACTTAGTGAAAAAAATAAATGTGCGATTAATTAATATGTGTCATCTATTTATTTTGCAATTTCGGCGGGGGACATCAGCCTCACTGTTGGCTTGTAATTTTTATTTTAAAAATATGCCTACCTGGGATATTTGTTAATAGATTGACAACTCTCGTGTCTTTCCAGCTTACAGCCAAAACATTGTTTGAGATTCTTTTCAAACTTTCACCTTTCTTTAGTTTTTTAGTTGCACTTTTTTTCATATCAGATGGAAGTCGTTTGCGGTTGCTGTTTACAGTGCCGCAGGATAAGGTTTTTACTTGAGATAGATATTCAATAAGTTCTATACTGGTATAATAATTATCCATAAATAAGTAGTGACCCTTGTTGAGAAAAGGCTGACAAATGTCAACAACGATTTGAGCTGTTTTAGATAATTGTGTGTCCTCTCTTTTTCCAGCATAGGGTATAATGTTTAGCACATATCCACTAGATGATTCTGCTAAAGTAAACAGTTTTATACCCCACTTTATAGGCTTATTCTTAATGTATTGTTTAATTCCAAGTCGTCCTTTGAACTTTAACATAGTTTCATCCACTGCAATTTCACGTTGGGGATTGTACACAAGTTGAAAACGTTTCACAACATAGTCTAATAGTGTTCTAATCTTCCAGAATTTATCTGACTTATTTACAGTTGTTGATGAATTGTCTACAAAATGAATACACGACAATATTTGAAGGAATCTTTTGCTGGTCATTGTCTGATTGAAACCAGGTGTTTGGGTAAGCCAATGTTTTGACCAATAACTGGCAATACGACCCTTTTTTTGCACAATACCAGTAGCGATGACTAGACCTAGCCACGTTTTCAATTCGGGCACTGAAATATTTGTCCAATCTTTATGAATATGTCTGCCTTCTTGACATTGTTTAGCGTACCTGTTTGTTTCTACAACAATATCTCGCAAAATATAGTCAGTAAATAAAAGTTGGAATAAATTGACGGCTTCAAAATGTTCAACACCTTCGAGATCTTTATTTACTCCAACAAGGTGTTCAAAAACAAAACTAACATCGGGCAGCTCAGTCAATTTTTTGGTCCATTCACAATTCTTTACCGGCACTGCATTTTCATTAGGAGCTTCACCATCGTCATCATATTCATCCGAATCATCGTGTTCCAAATCAATTTCAACATCCACATCGCGGGCGAGACCGTCTAAATCACAGTCGCTTGAAGCAGACTCACTGACGCTGTCGTCGGAATTTAGTTCGAACGCACTGTCATCATCACTGGCACGCTCTGTCACTGTCGTCGCTTTCCCAGAAACAGGGGTCCGCTAAAACAACATCCACTGTTCGCTTGGCCATTTCAATCGACAATTTCATAAAAACATGACAGGAAACGCGACGAATCGTCAGGGTAAACAACATTTAGAGTTATTTCCCTTCTATATTGACGGTCAAGGTGAAATTCCTGAATTTTAACCCTTTACACCTCATTGACGTAATATTACGTCAAGTAGTCGGAAAGGTTGTAAATTATATGACGTAATATTACGTCAAGTAGTCGGAAAGGGTTAATTTTGTTTTTTAAAAAAGAACAAAAAAGTGTGAGAATTATTTTCATTGACGTCAAAAATATGTGACGTCATTGATTAGACGCGTCATAGAAATGGTTCTATGAGGCGCGTAATCTCGCTTGGGCGAGATTTGGTAAGTTGACATGCGCATTGCCTGTTTTGCCCAGTGTATCCGGTTCCGGTCTGATTTTTTTTTAATCAACAGTCTGTGGGTGACAATTTCAGTTACGCTCCTGTGTTACCGGAAAAGAGCTTTGCTCAAGCACCGCGCTTCGCTCTATAATATGTAACAGGCATTGCCTGAGTAGAGCGAAGCTGATTATTGTCAAATATAAAACCTTCATAATTAATTTTCTCAAGTGATACAAAAAATGTTAAATTATTTAGTTTTTCCAAATTGATTTTCATTTAGATACATTATACATTAATTTTGTTTTTTAAAAAATAACTAAAAAGTGTGAGAATTATTTTCATTGACGTCAAAAATATGTGACGTCATTGATTAGACGCGTCATTGAAATAGTTCTATGACGAGGCGCGTAATCTCGCTTGGGCGAGATTTGGTAAGTTGACATGCGCATTGCCTGTTTTGCCCAGTGTATCCGGTTCCGGTCTGAATTTATTTTTAATCAACAGTCTGTGGGTGACAATTTCAGTTACGCTCCTGTGTTACCGGAAAAGAGCTTTGCTCAACCACCGCGCTTCGCGCGATGCTGTAGAGCTTCGCTCTATATTACTACATGGAAATTACTCAGATCTTACTGACAGCCACAACAGGGAATTTGTGTGATTGGATCTGATTATTTATTGGATTACTAGGCTTGTCATTAATTAACAATAAATGGTGTGATTAGGGTCTTGTATATTGCTACCGGAGTTTTATACTATAAAGTGTGATTTAATTAACTTTGTTTAATGTGTATATTACTAAGAAAATTTTACACATTTGTCAACCAATTTAGTGTTTTGCATTCAACACTTGTCTAGATCAGGAAGGTCTCTGTCTCGGCTACTACTAAATAATAAAATATTGGTTTGTAAAGGAATTGAATCGCCACCAAATGTCTCGTTTTATGAAATAAAATGATATTTACAAATTATAATATTATACAAAGTACAATTTGTCTGTCATTTTTTCAACTTCACTCATTACAAAATATCGCATTCGTTGCGATCTCGGCCTCTAATGATTTAAGCGGTATCAAATGGACAATAACAGTCCTCTAAATTCTAAACAGTGCTGTTTAAAAACCTAATTCATTTCGGAAAAACGAGATTATTTAACATTTTTTGTATCACTTGAGAAACTTAATTATGAAGGTTTTATATTTAACAACAATCACATCAGCTTCGCTCTACTCAGGCTATGCCTGTTACATATTAGGAGTCGCGCAAGTTTAATTTCATTAAAGTATTTTTATTAACATATGGAAGCGATTCATTATCCTCCGTTGATAGATTATAGACCTTCCTTGAGCTTAAGTTTTTTTTAGGGTTATGAATAAAATGACATTACCATGTCCATGGGGGCAGCCATCTTTTAACATTCGATGGTCCGAAAAATCCGCGTTCGGTTTCTAGTTCCAACCATTAGTCATGAAAAATTATAACCGAAGGTCGTCCTGGCTGGTTAGTTATGGCTTGCGGTCGTGGTTTCGATCCCTGTGTGAGCATATGTGGCTTGGAGATAGGAGTGTCCTCTTAACCTCGGTGGAAGCGGACGTTAAACACTAAAACAACAACTTTGTACAGATAATACGCACAGACACCGGAGGCAAAGAAGCCTATAAGTGAATAATACTGTATAGGACACTGTAATTCATTTTTTCCAGGAATATTTACGCCAATGTTCATTCAGTGTAGAGAAATTGAAATACAACAATCTCAATTTTTATTCTCATTGATGTTATTTTTTTTTTAGTTTTGTTTTTGGTGGGGGGGGGGGATGCATGCTTTGCACTTTGTGTTACGTGTGCATGCTGCTTTCTCTCTTGTAAGAAGTAGACAGCATCGGTATTGCCCCAGTGTATCTATATTTTCTGACAAAGCAAACTAGTAATTTAAACATCGTCAGGATTCTAACACAGAGAACCAGTAATCTTTAAGACATTTATTTGTCATTGCTACTATAATTAGAAGACTCATCTTTGTAAATATCAAGTCCTATTTGAATTGGGCATGATACTCTTTAATTAAACAATGTCTTTAATTTCTGGATCTGATTTAAAAGGGCATCAATTTCCTAAGACACCGTTCTGTCATCCGTACTTGGGCCTTTCGCCATGCCTTTAAACTGTTCCCCATAGGCCCTATATTCTAATGCTTAATATGTGACTAACCTAATAATGTAATAAAATAGTGTGTGAACGGTTATTTTATTGAATTGTTGTATGAAATGACAGTATCTTATAATGTAATTATAACTAACTGTATTTACAGATATATGCCCATCGGATTATGTGTATGATATAGCAGTTAATGTGTGTTATAAAACATTCAACAAAACCACCCATGAAACAACTTGGATAGGTGCTATGGAGAAATGTCAAGCGGAATTCGGATTTTTATTCATGTGCAACTCAGATGAAAAAAGAAATATAATCGACAACCTTGAAAGTATATGTAAGTTAAAGCTATATCATTGGTTTATCCACTAAAAACACATTGTTTAGTCCATTGAAATGTATTTTCTCATTAATTAGACTACGCGAAATATTATAATGATGAATATATCTTTGTCAAAATGTCAGTTTCACAAATAATTTCGTTTATTTATCAATAGTTTCGATTCTTTTGTTCCAGATCCATACGCTGCCAAATCTTTTACAAAGGTTTTTGTCGGTGCTACGTTTACAGAAGGCAAATGGGCTTGGTTAGATGGCTCGAACATTACAGATTGGGAAGAGTCAGAACCAAACGGTGTTGCAGAGAACTGTGCTATCCTGTATGTCAAATTAAACGGACAATTGTCTCGCACTGCAGATTATCTCTGCCAAGGTGTAATGAATTTCATATGTGAGATACCAGTACATTCAATAAACCTATAGACAAGACGTGCTGTACAAAATTATTTTCATCAAGAATTATCAGGGTCAGCTACTGGCAGCACTACAAAGTGGACCCTTTGACATTGTAAAATTCTTTCCGTTGTAATCACTGTAAAATCTATACCATTCACTTATTAACCGAAGACTAATATTCATTTTTTCATTAAAGTATACAAGACATCCTTACTCTAAACATTTAGTGGGTATAGAAAGTGTTTAAATTATACAATACTTATTAATTAGCAGATGTGTAACTAGCTGTAAAAGATGTTACTTCTAGTGTTAAAGCGTGACTAATTCAACTACACATATTGAATACACTAACACAACCAATTGTGGTGTATATTAACATTACAATACAGTTGTGACGTCGTCCTTTGGCGTTGGCGTGCTATTATTTCAAACGTACAGTATTTATACTAAATAAAATATTGGACTCGCATAACGATTTCAATAAAAATGTGTTTGCGGGTTATTTTAAGTTATTTTTAATGGTCTTGAGAAAGAAATTAAATAGCAATTGTTACAACACTCGGGATGACGACCTAATATAGTATCAATATATCACTTAATAACTAGCTCTTGACCAAGAAACCAAACATAGAGTCACGGTGTATCTCCCTCATTAGTATTATGCATGCACTTTAACTCACATTTCTATGTTAAAGCGAAAGTCCAAACCAGGATGTCAGAATTGTTCATTTGCACCTTTAGATTGAGTGCCTGCATCTCAAAGGAAGGTCGCAATTTTTTATACGCCCACATTATTATCTGGACGTATATTGCCGTCGCCCGTGTCCGTCCTGACGTCCGTCCACAATTGACGGACCAGATCAACCTAAGTCCCGTTTTACAACTTTTCAGCAGTGCCAAAAAAAAAGAATTTGTTAAATATTTACCTTATGTTAATTAAGATTTTTGATAAAGGGATTGACATTAAGAGAGACGATAAAACACACATCGGACCATATATTAAAGGTTATATAATCAAGAAAACCGGGAAAAACTGAAATTGATGGTGATAGTTAGAGTCAAAATAACCTAAGTTGACAAAACCGTTCAGAGGCAAAACAACCTAAGTCATTTTTTGCATGCATATAACTTTGAATTTGTGTGCATAAGCGTGTTTCATATTGAGCTCAATAGGCAGATCATGTAGCTCATACAGCTCATGTTGCTCATACAGCTCAATGAAAAGTATTCGTTGGATAATACCATAATTCTAAAGGTAATGCTAAGAAAGACAACAAAATATAGAATATCGGCACTAGTAGATTTAGTCATTCATATTTAATCTTTCAACCGGAAATAAATTAAACAAACACGAATACTGTTAAACGGAGAAAATAAACAACTAATAAATTCTCGTTGATTATGGTACATGCTGTCATCGCAGTAGTCATCATCACCACCAGCAGTATCTTGAATGTTTTCCAGGTGTACTGCATCATGGGGTAAAGATAAAAAGAATGTTTTCTTCTCGGGGTCTGTAACAAATGGTATTATCTTTTCCAGATCTTTCCACTTAGAAGCGGACAGTCGAATTGGCGAGGCATATTTTTGACACAGTTCCTTTGCAAAAGCAGATCTTTTGAGAATGTTCACCTTCTTCCATCCGAATGTATATCTGCACCAAACTTCATTTTCATGACAGACAGTGTAATTAAGTCCATCTTCCCAGTTATATTCTTCAGTGGC